GGGTAATGATAAACGTGAACAAGCTCAGCTTCATGGCAATGTATCAAATAATCTCACACTGGTTCATTTGAAATTTCTTTTTCGAAAAGGCATTTCAATGGGAGCACAAGCTGTTCGACCAAAAAGAAATCCAAGTACCTTAGAAGGGTGCAATCGATCGAGGCCTACTACCAAATGCTTTTCTACACCTACGCAAATTATTCCATCTTGAGCTCAGTCCTAGGACTTCTGAATTCATTGATTCGTATCAAAATTTAATAGAATGAAAGAGAAAACTACTGCTTACCTCAGCTTGCGCAATTGAAAGTTTAAAGGCATTCACAATGGTTGGGTCAAGAGGAGGGAAGGGGAAAGCACAGTGCATCTGTAGAGCGCCCCACACAACCCAGGCACGCGCCACCGCCTGTGCCGAGAGCGAAGACTCCCTCAGGCAGGCACAGAAGGCGTGTATTAAGTGTTGAATGGAAGGACAGACGGCAACGAAGCCCTCAAAATAGGAATCAATGGTATCCACAAAAACGTTGACGTTACTGGTTGCCGTTTCGATCTGGAGTGGAGAAATTATCTCTGGGAGAGTGGAAATCGTTGAAGAGTTGCTGCTGAAAGGGAATTGATAAATGATTACGAATGAAAGGAACAGTAGAAATGGAATTTTTATCAAGTCCTACCTCATTCTGTCCCGGGAATGCTTATGAATGGCAGCCAAAATGGCGCAGAAGAGCGACTGCGATAAAGCCATCAGCTGGGGAATTTCGCTGGTAAGCAAAAAAATCCAACAATAATGAAGTATTGTCCAAAGAATATTATCAGTCTACCAACGATTGATAATACAATATGTGACGCAGTGTGGCGCAGAAAACTATTGTCCGCATATCAACTGCTCAAACATACAAAAACGGCCTTTCAATACGAAATTAAAAAAACAAATGGATTCGTAAATGGAACATTCAAGCTTAAGATAAACTACGAGACACAAAAATCGCAACTAACTCGCTGCATTGGTGGAAGATCCTCTGTCGCCGAGTGGATGACGGACCAAGGCACATAAGAAGATGAAAGTGATCGGGAAACATCTGCTGATTAGAAATCCAATCGGCAAACGAACAATTAGGTCCACCACTGAAGCAATTAGCTGTGTCTGTGTTATTCACTACCAATGCTGCTTGTGAAAGGCTCCGCCATTCGCACACCAAATCGGGCTAAAATGGAACCAGCAATATGATGGAAAGAAAACTGATGGCTAAAAAGGCATCAGTTCCAAATCACTCGCCTAGCATACCTCCACAAGACCCTTAGATTCTGATAACGCGAGAGAATAGGCGCGATTGGGGAGAACAATATTTGTGAAATTGCCGCAAGCTTTCCCCGACGCCAACGTAAAAAGTTCTAGTAAGCGGGG